CCTTTTTTGAACTGCCAGCCTTCTGGTTAGCAGTCAAGTGCCTTAGGCACTATGCTACCAGAGCTCCTGACAAGAAGCCAGCCCTAATCCAGTTGTAGAAGTGTTCATATTCTCCTTTGGTGTATTTGTGAACCTGCATCACTCCCCTCCCCCCACCAACAAGCATATTTTCTTTGTTGGGATCATAAGTGAGTAGAATGTATGTGTTGGGAGCTGTGGCGTTCCAGTCACAGATGTTCTGGGAGCTACTGCTGCCTCTCCAGAGGGACCCAGGGTGGGACTTCCCTCCTCCAGGAAGGAACAAGGGAGGGGTCCCTATTTCTAACCTCCATCTCCAGGTCAGACTTCAGCCATCTGGGAGTCAGGGAGTCACATATAACCCCAAACTGAGGTTTCAACCAAATGTCAAATTTCTTAATGAAGGTTAATTTACTATTGTTCCTTTTGCAGAAGTCTGGTTCCAAGGCTACTCAGATGCCAAGAACAAAAGAAGAAATTTGGTTAAAATAAATAAATAAATAACAGCTGGTTCTGCCCCCATCACAACCAGCTGCACTGATCTTGGAGCACGACAGTGAAAGGGTTTATGACCTCTCTCTGGTTCTTGGGTTCTTTTGAAAGAACAAAGCCTTCATAGGAGACAAGGTCAGGCAAGGCAGAGCCTGTGGTCTACTCTCAGCTTGGGCTCTGGACTGTTGGTTGTGTTCAGGAGGAAGGTCATCTCTATCTGTGAGGCCTCTTCACTCATCTTCTCCATGTTCTTGACCTCTTGATTGGATAGGTTGTTTCTCTAGCATACGTTGGGTCATTTTGTTTGGTTACTTATGAGGTTTCAATGAGTTGGAGCTGACTGAATGGCACCTAGCCACAGCAACAATGTTGGGCATCTTCCCCCATTTGTGGCACTATCTCAGACCTCAAATTACACTAATAATTCTGGCAGTTTGTGAATTTGTATCAAAACTTAGGCAGTTCACAGAAACAAATTTTCAGTATTCACGTGTACGTATTTCTTAAATACCTATGTTTCAGTTCATATAGAGTTTAGAGGAGAAATTAAGACTAAAACTTATTCAAGCTGTCCGATGAACAGGAATGCAGGAAAACTTACAGCCAAGTTTAGTCTTTCTTGAAATGTTTCTCCAAATAGGGGTAAATTTTATCACAGGCCTTCTTGGGGAAGAATACTAGTTGGAAATGGTCATTGAAAGGCCTGCTAGTCATTAACTCCATAACCAATGGGAAGCTCCTAGATGGTAGTAGACCCTCAACAAGATGGATTGACACAGTGGCTGCAACGACGGGCTCAAGCGGAACAAGGGTTGTGAGGATGGTGCAGGAAAGGGCAGTGTTTCGTTCTATTGCTCACAGTGTTGCCAAGTTGTAATCGACTCAATGGCACCTAACAACAACTGGATGGTAAGCTTACTCTGGTGAGGTATGAGGCAGGCTGAAGTAGGGGCAGGCTTTGTTTCTTAGGGAGAACTAGCTGTAGAAACCAAAGGCACAGTGTGCTTGGATGGTGTGAAGATATTTAGTGCAGCTAGAACGAGAGTGATGGGAGAGACACAATGAGCCTGGACCCGTTGGTGGATCCCAACACGTGAGGGCCTGGCTAGCCATGCTAAGGCCTTTCGCTGAATCAACATGAAGCCACTGAAGAATTTTTATTTGAGTTTATTTAAAAAAAAAATTCCAAGTAATACATGCACAAGGTAAAAAATTAAATAGTACAGGACTTAAAATGAAAAGCACAGTTTCCCACTCCACTCCTTTGAACACTAGTCCTATTTCCTAGAGGCAATGCTTGTTAACAATTTCTATTTTTAGGTCTTCGGATAACTAACTGCCTACCTTTAAATAATGTTTGACCAATCCTTCCTTGACTCACCAGCTCTCCCTCTGCAGTAAGTGCCCATCACAGAAGAGAGAGGTTCAACTTGCGCTCTCCCTTTACACCTCCTGCTCCCAAATTGGAAGATGGGCCATTATCTTTTAACACGTTTGTTGGTTTAATGTATAACTTGGAACCCTACGGTAATGCCCTAGTCCTTGTTCCACTCACCGTAGACTTCATGCTTTTGTTCCCACTTTGAGGCTGTCAGTAGCCCTGCTCTCCCTTCCACCTCTTCCCACAACTAACTCTCCAGCAATTTCTGCTTTTTGTTAGCATTAATTGTTCTCACCTTCTGCTCTGAACCCCAAACTAAGCTTTTTCATGCTTTTTCTACAGGCTGATCAGAACACTGATAGCATTTACATTATCATGGCTATGCAAATACTACTGACTGAGAGCCCTAGTGAAGGGAGGAGAGTTTCTTTCTGCAGTCAATGCCCTGATACCTGGACCACTTGAAAGAGAACTTACCTACCGCCAATGACTAGAAGTCTCTTCTTACACTCCATAAACAACTTAAAATCATGTTTTCTCTTGCTTCATAATTACATCTGAATTTCTTGATGGGTTTTTATCGTGCATTTCTTTTTTGGTTGGCTAAAGAATCTTGACTCTTCCACATTCCCAAGCAATCCAGCCTCTCAATGACAGTAGCTCTGGTGAGGAATGCACATTCTTCCCAGAGTCTGAGACAGTGCATTCTTCATCTGAGATGGGTCTGCTGGACAACTGTTGCTCTAGAGTGAGGCATCCTGCGTGAGTGCCATGGGCTTCCAGATTCCCATTCCTTCCTCATTTTGTTGAAGAATTTTTTCAAGGTGATTTCTCAGCAAAGGTGCAACGGAGGTAACTTTCTGAATATTGGCATGTATTTATTTTGACTTTACTCTCAACAGTTTGGCTAGTTATGGAGTTCTGGGCACAAAAACATTTCCCATAAAATACTTTGAAGACATTGCTCCATTAACTTTTAGTGTTCAGTGCTGCCAATCCATTTTATGAATTGTAATTGAGCTAATTATGGTGACTCTCCCCCACCCCCCGTTGTTTTTCTTTCGGGGCACTTATAGTATCTTCTATCTTTAAAGTTCCAAAATTTCACAAGACTGTATCTAGATGTAGATTTTATTGGGCCTTTTCAAACTGCAAAGTTCTTTCTGTTCTTTTTTCTGTTTCTTCACCTATATTTGTTCTCTCTTCCAGGAACAGTTAGACACTGATCATCTATGTCTCTTTCTTTTCTTATTTTCTATTTTTTGCTCTGTATCTTGGGATATTCCCTCAGCTTCATTTTCTAGCCTGTCTACTGAGTGTTTCAGACAGTCTTATTTACTTTCAAAGGGCTCTTCTTATTCTCAAATGTTCTCCTTTCTTTGTAACATGTTTTCAACTTACAAATACATCTCAAATCTCTCTGAAGATACAATGAGAATTTTGTTACTTTTTTTCTGCATTAACTGTTTCTTCTGGAGTTGATCATATTCTTCAACTCAAACTCTACCTGGTTATTTTCCTTACATCCATCCATCCCTATGTCTGGGACTTGCTGGCTGACCATTCACCTTTCAGAAATCACTGAAACTGTTGGCTGTTGTAGGTGGTTGATGTCGCTCTCCTCTGTCATTGTGTGGTTTGATCCATCTATATATGGAAGCACTGGGCACATGAGTAGGGATCTCAATGGTCAGAAGCAAATTAACTCATAGGCTAGGGGGTCCCTAACATCATGAAAACATGAATTTTATTCTGGTGCACCACCTCCTACCTCTTCTCAAGCATTTCATTCAATTTCTTTATTAAGAAACAGAACCAATTTTACCGGTACCAATAGGCTGCCTGTACTGTATACACGAATGGGGGGGAGGAATGGGATGGGGTACAAGTTTACAACTGGTGACCTTCTTTAGCTGATAGAATTTCTGGATACTCAAGGCTCTTTGGGCTGTTGGGTTCAGGTAGCGTATACTGTTCAGGTAGCGCACCTTCTCTCTTTCCTTCATTTTGATGCTTTATCCACTCTTTCTCCTCCAGAAATGTGTTGAGGTCTCTCCATTTATATCCACATCCTTCTGCTGCTTTCTGAGATGTCTCCATTTCCTTTTGCATTTCTTGACTTCAGTTTCAGTGGGGCCTAGGGAGGGAGGGGAGGTAAACTCATGTTCAGTCCATCGTCTTAAATCTGAAGTCCTGCTGGAAACTTTTAGACAGGGGAGCAAAGGGACAGCTTTACGTTTTTAAAAGCTCCCCACCTACCCTCCTGAAAATGGTGTAGAGGGCCAGGATGGGTACAGATATTATTCGGAAAGGTTGAGGGTCTAATTTCTTGTATGAGAACATGCAGTGGTGGGACTTTTGGGAATCAGATACTTAACTGAAATAGTTCCTCATTCAAATCCAGTAAACAAGTAAATGCTTTCATGGTGCCCTAGAGTGAATGGCTGAGACCTTAATAAGCCAGACATACACAACTGGGGTGGTGGATGCTAAATGGCTCGTTCCAACACGGCTTGTTAGGAGGCACTTCAGGACATACCACACATTCTTCCTCTGGACTCACATTTGAGATAAACAAAAGGTACGATTGTTCTGATAGAATCAGATGAGGGGCAAAGCCTGAGAAGCCAAAGCTGTGTAATTAGGGGCCCTGTGTTCTCTGGCTTCTCCATTTTCTCATTTATTTGGTCACTCGAGGCAGAGCAGTTAATGACTCACTTGTCACCAGAGTTCCTGGGTCCCAATCCGAGATCTACCACTTACTAGCAATGCAACCATAGGCCAGTTACTTATCCTTTATAAACTGCAGTTCTTTCTCTGTCATAAAATGGAGATAGTAATAGGTTCCACTGCATAAAATTATTGTCAAGAGTAAATGAAATAATCTGTATAAAGGACCTCATTACGTACTTGGTACACACTCAACAGTCCATATTAAGAGCAGTTATTTTAAATGTTGAGGTCCCTGAGTGTTACACAAGGTGAACACACTTAGCTGAAAGGCTGGACGGTCAAGTCTACCCAGAGGCCCCTCTGAGGAACGGCCTGGGGATTCACTTCTGAAAAGTGAGTCATTGAAAACCCTATGGAGCACAGGTCTACTCTGGCACACATGGGCTTGCCATGAGCTGGGGCTGCCTCCATGGCAACTGTTTTTTTCTTTTTTTATTTCAGATGTGGAATGAATAGTCCACACACACTTTATTCTATGTTCAAAGCACCTAGACAATGGCCTTTTGTGAATAAGAGAAAATAATTCTATCATTGAGAAAAGATATAATAAAGGAATCCAAAGAAAAATTATCTAGATCATACTTGATTTTGTCTGCATCCACCCAGTTCTCAATAAGGCAGACAAAGTCATGGATTCCAGTAACCAAGTAAAAGGAAATGAGCTGTAGGGAAATTGGTTGGCTGCATACGACATCAATCCCAGAGACTCGACTTTAATTACAGGTACAAAGAAATGAGATGGTTCTAAATAAAATGTGAAGAGAAAATGAGAATCTGTGGAAATCAAGTCGAGGTAGGTCAGCTATCAAATTGGGAGTAACCCTAGACAGTGGTTCAATGTGACCAGAAAAACCTGGACACCACTATCAACTGGATGCTGACTCTTTGCTAAGGACAAACACCCTGTGGAATGATTCAGGCTTGTCAAGTGCCTTCCTCTCTTGATTTAGGTAAAGAAAGAATTTGACCTGAAAGATGGAATTGAATAAAGAGGCCCAAGTAGCTTTCTTAACCTCCCTGTGAATGCAGATCCTTTCCTTAAGACTCGTAAAGCAATGTCTTAGAATCTCTTGATGGTTGGTGACTGAAATGTGGGATGAGGTAGTATTAATTAAAACTGCATCTAAAATGTCATCTGAAGGTGAAGTCTAGCTCTAAAGTGATGTTTAGTTAGATGATAATCACAGCAGCTGTGATTTTCTCAACACCTACCAATTGCTAGGTACCGTTTGACCACTGTTAGAGGTACTACAGAATCTAATCATCAGAGTAACCCTACAGAATCAAGCCCATCTTATAGACAAGGAGACCGAGTCATAGAGACATTCAGGAACTGCCCCAGGGTCATACACCTACTAGGTGAAAGAACTAGGATTTGGATATAGGGAGTCTGCTGCCAGCAATGACGACTTTGGCCCCAAGCTGTGCAAAGTGGCTGGGGGAAGAAGTGCGTTGCTTTTGGACACTGGACAGTGGACCACGTCCTAGATGTGCATCCACTGTGTGGTTCACACGCCACATCAGGGTGATCTATCAGGGTCTTCTGCATGACGCTGGGGGGTGGGCAGGGTGTGCATCCCCATTCCACACACGAAGAAATGGAAATGCTGAGATAAAATGACTTTCCCGAGAGCTAACCCTAACTCTAGACCCCTTCTACACCAGTCTGCTTTCCAACTATTTGAAAGCTACCCAAACGTAAGACATCTGAGTCACTAGGGAGCTGTCAAGGGATGAAGGTAAATTTGTGTTCCCTCTGGTTCTATGATCAGACTTTGGGAACAAGTGACCAGAAATCACAGCCCAGAAAGAATGGTCAGGCTGTGAGGATGAGAACCACCCTCCACAGGGGCCCGTGATGGGGAACCAAAGCTGGCACAGCAGCAGGTGCCAGAGCCCTCAGGACAGGGCTGTTCCAGAGCTGGAGGTCTGAAGGCTGCGAGCAGAGGGACAAGAGGACATAGATGCCTGCTCCCGAGAAATCTGATGCCACCCATGTGGTATTTCTAACCCACTTCCTGGAGACACACTAGGGAGCAAGATCTGGGGCAATGAACTGGGGGACAAGGCCAAAGCCTAGGAGACAGAGCAGAGAGGTGACCCCCATCTCTGCCTGTCTTCCCAGACCTCTCTACCTGCCACCTCGCTGGGCACTCCTTACATCTGGGTGAGGAGGTACAATTTCATAATATTTTCCTTCCACTCGGGCAGGTAGGCCAGGCTGGTAGCCACTTCCTTCTGGATGGGCCAGGCCCAGGCCTCGAAGAAAGGTGTCAGATTCTTCTGCACTTGGTGAGAGAACATCTTGACCCACAGGTTCATTTTGTCAACGTTGTCTGTGGGCAGGTTGGTCTGGTTCCTGTACTCATTGAAGAGGCGGATGAACGGCTCCCAACCAAAGGCTTCTTGTAGCTGGAGGGAGACATGAGGGGCAGGGTGAGGCACCTGGCAAAAAGGGACCAACAGATGCTACAGTACACCCTTGTAACATATTTCACCCTCTTGTAGCTGGAGGGCGACACCTGGCCTACAATGGGAGAGCCAACGGCCATGACAACATGCAGATCCAATGTATTTAACCCTCGGTCATCTATCGCTGACTCAGCTCTGTTTTACTTGTGGGCCTCAAGCCTCCCTTCCTGACATTCTCACCTTAGGAAGGACCTCAGAACTAACTCAGAGATTGGCTCAAAACAGGTGATCAAAAATGATGGCTTTGGTAATAATTACAAGGGTTGTCATCAATATTTACTACCAATACCATTTTCCATGTATTGCACCAGTTCATCCAAGCAAGGTTCGGAGACTCCACAAGAACTTAAAATTGACTCAAGTGGTGAAGGCCTCGTCTCTTTTACAATTTCAGAGTTAAACCCCAACCACTGGGAAACTCTCACCTTAGCCTGTCATGATGAAATTCCCACCAATCCTAGGTCTAGGTCTGATTGCAAGGATACTAAAAAGGCCTTGGGGAAAAATACATCAGCTAGAAGTTACTGCTGCTAGCTGCTATCAAGCCGGCCCCTGACTTAGGTGACCCTGTACACACAAGGTCAGACCATGTGGCCCACAGTGTTTCCGTGGGCTGATTTTCAGATCTCCAGTCTTTTATTTTTAGTCTTTCTTATCCTGGAGGTGCCTCTGAAACCTGTCCAGCATCCTAGCAACACACAAGTGTCCACTGACAGTTGGGTGGTGGTGGCAGTGCACGAGGTGTGTCGGCTGGAAAAGAACCCAGGCCTCTCGCACATATAGGAGATGCAGCTGGAGTTAAGAGTCAGCTGTGATCCAAGAAAAGCTCTCTACCCTGGGGCTGCTGGAACTGGTGAGTGACCCGGGACCAGGAGTCTCAGCAGTTCCCCAGAGCAGCCTCCACTTCACTTCACAGGTGAGGAACTTCTGTCCTGGGGCACAGCAGCCTTAGGGACAAAGCTGATGGGGTGACTCTCTGGCCATTCCCCTATCATTCTCAGGGCAGCAGATGAGCTGGGAGGGGCCTGGTTAGGTAGAATGTGCAGGGGGCCATGCCTGCCCTGTGTTCTACTGCAATAAAGTTCTCCCCATGAGCTGGGCACTGACCCAAGGGCTGTGTCAGGAACTGGGACACTGTCTCAGTCATCTAATGCTGCTCTAACAGAAATACCACAAGTGGCAGCTTAAAAGACAGAAATTTATTCTCTCATAGTTTAGGAGATGAGAAATCTGAATTAAGAGCATCCGCTTCAAGGGAAGGTCTTCTTCCCTCTGTTGGCTCTGGGGAAAGGTCCTTGTCATCCATATTCTCCTGGGTCTAGGAGGTTCCCTGCACAGGGACCTGGAGTCCAAAGGGTGCACTCCACTCTCAGCTCCATTTTTTTTTTTGGTGGCAGTCAGGTCCTTCCTCTCTCTGCTCACTTCTCTCTCCTTTTAGCTCTTATAAGATAAAAGGTGATAAGGCCACACCCCAGGGAAATTCCCCTTACATTGGATCAGGGCTATGACCTGAGTAAGATGTTGCATCCCCCTTAACCCCCTCACAACTGACTGGCTGCCCCTCACAACTGACTGGCTGGTACCGTCAGATCACATCACTGGTTACATCATTCTTCAACTGCCCTGTTACATCATTACCTGACTGCCAAAATACTGAGAATTTGGGGCCAGCCAAATTGATACATATTTTGGGGGGACACAATTCAATCCATGACAATCACTGACGGGCCATGTAGGGTAAAGGCACCTCCTTGGCCAGGCCAGTGAGGAACTATGGAAACTGGGCACAGCCAAGTCACAGAAGAGGATGTTGTCCAGGTCAAGGGGTGTGAGGGATAGGTTTGGGTAGAGATGGCTACCAAGTGGCCATGTTTGGCTTTGTCCTGGCAAGTCTGCCTTCAAGCCTGAGACAGTAACTATATCTGTATTAGCAGCTGCCTCTTCCCTGCGAAACCCTTCTTAGTGCTTCTCTTACTCTCATCCATCACTTCCAAACAGTGGTGTGGACGGTAGGGCTGACCCAAGTCCTGGTGGAGTTAAGCACAGCAGTGATCCCAGAGGTCTCTGGGTGGCACCATCTGACTATTCATCTCAAGTTGGTGGTTCAAACCCACCCAGCAGCAAAGAACCTGGTGATCTGGAACAAAGACCTGGTGATCTGCTTCCATTGAGATCACATCCAGGAAAAACTCCATGGAGCACGGTTCTACTGAGTAACACATGGAGTTTCCGGGTGGTCTGAGAGACATCTCCATCCTGCAGAGTCCACATCAGGGTCTGTACCAATGCTGCTCTGGCAGTGCCCCACCCATCAGTAGGTCCCTCCACCCTTACTCTCACCCAGTACCTGGAGGTATGTCTCCAGGGCTGTCCACGCGTTCCAGTTCTTAACACTGGGGCCCTTGCCCAGGTAGATTCTGACCCTCTTCTCCCGGACGAGTGGCCACAGGGCAATGTTGGCGTGGCCACGGGGGATGCCCAGGACCGTCTCGTGCACATACACACACCACAGGTTGCAGGTGGCCTCGGTGGTGTGCGGAGGGAACTCCCACTCTTGCCGCTGCTGGTTGCGACCCAGCTCGTGCACTGGGCCCCACAGCCCCTTGGTCCTGATGAGCTTCTCGTGAATGAGTTCCTGCACCGACTCCAGGTGACACATGATGGGGTACCCCGCGTGCATCCAGCCTGGGGGGGCAGAGATAGGGTCAGGTCACCCCCATCACGCACCAACTCCAGGTGACACATGATGAGGTACAATCCAGCCTGGGGGGGAGACAAGGTTAGGTTGCCCCCATCCTGCACTGACTCCAGGTGACACACGATGGGGTACCCCATGTGCATCCAGCCTGGGGGGGCAGAAATAGGGTCAGGTCACCCCCATCACGCACCAACTCCAGGTGACACATGATGAAGTACCCCCTGTGCATCCAGCCTGGGGGGAGACAGGGTTAGCAGGGTTAGGCTGCCCTCATCCTGCACTGACTCCAAGTGACACATGATGGGGTACCCTGGGTGCATCCAGCCTGGGCTGGGGGGAGACAGGGTCAGGCTGCCCCCACCCATGTCCCTCGTGGAGGCTCCATGGTGCTCAGAGGGCCTGCACACCAGACCCGTCTTCACCTCTCCCCATGTACCAGCCCTCCAACCTCTCTGATCAGGAAGTGTGGCTATGCAGAGTAGGGCAGGCTACAAAAGGCCTGGATCTGAGTTCCACTCTGATGGGGGCTCTCCACATGAGCCTGTGTCTCCCTTGGCTGGTCTCTGAAACTGGAACTCTTTGACATGTGGCTGCCACATGGACACTGTTTTAGAGTGATCAGTTGTGTAGGCCAAGAGCTAGAGCCCAGAGCATTTCCTGTGGGTCTCCTTTCATTTCACACACCTGTGTTTTCAGAGCACTGGGCTCCTGGTGAAGCCTTCTTTGCTCAGCACCTTCCCAAAGCGGTTAAAAGAGACCCCACACCATTCTCCATCTTTCCTTGGACTCCCCCACAGGCGGCTGTGCGGCCCAGACAAAGTCTTTCTGCACAGTCCCACTGTGTGACGAGGTCATGACATGCGGGCTCACATGCCATCTCTTTCTTTCAAAGTCAATTTCTTCCTTTCTCATCTGAATAACGGGCTGCGTGTGGTGTGGCTTTTACCCTCCTGGCTGTCAATGAAGGGAAGACCCTTGGGCAATATGCAAGGAGGAGCCAGAGGCGCCCACCCACATGATGTGGTTTAAAGGGTTAAGAGAACGTTCTCCCTTGGGCAGTGTGCAGGCAGCATGCCACCCACCCACATAGTGTGGACCAAGGAAAGACCCTCAGGTGGTGTGCACAGGGTCCCCCTTGGAGATATCCACCAAATGGTGTGCACCAAGGGTCCCCACAGGGCACCCACCCAGAGAGTATGGATTAAGGCCCTGGAGCAGTGTGCACAGGGTCCCCCCAGGCACCTACCCACTGAGATCTGCACGTCGGCAACAATCCTCTGTGGTAAGCGCAGAGGGAAGGGCTCAGCACCCAGCCTGGCGACAGCCGCCATCACCTCATCCCAGAGGCGCAGCAGGGGCTCGGGGTCCTCCAGGGTGCGCAGGTTAGCAGTCGGCACGGTCAGGATGATGTTGTCTGTTGCCAGCTCCCCCCAGGGGCCAGGGTTCTCCTGGATGCGTCTCTTCCATTCCTCTTGCGACGTCTCCCCTAGAACAGAGGCCATGGGTTTGGAACTCACCTCCCCACACCTCTCAGGGCAAGCATGCAGCCCATGCCCCAGGAGGAGAGCATGGGTCCCGGCCACCATGGCCCTCCCCTCTGCCCTTTCTCTCAAGGAGCGTGGTTTCGTCTCATCTCCTCGGCTTCCAAGCAGGAGCTCAGGACACTCGCCTTCCTTGCCACCATCCAGGCATCACTCTTCTCCCATACCAGTAGCCCCACCCTACCTACCCGCCCTTGTCCCCACACCCCTAGTGCCCCTAAGCTGTGCTCACCCAGCTTGTAGTAGGGGGCATGCACTGCCCCCTTGACAGTGAGGGGCACAGGGCCCAGCTTGCAGCCCTGGGGCGCTATGATGTAGAGCAGGCCACCCCACAAGCAGGTGATAGACTTGCTGGGCTTGTCCATGCAACAGCGGTTGATAATGAGTGGTGCACGGAAGAGCTTGCTGGCCCTGGTAAGGTCGTCCGTGTGGCAGCCAATCTGGACCTGCGTGGAAGGAGTCCACAGGGCGGAACAGTGGGTCACCATGGGTGTGTGGTGGACAGAGAGCCCAAAAATGGGCACCAGGAGGTCGGGGCTGCCCCACCCTGTGGGGAACCTAACAGTCCATGAGGCACTGACCTGAAGATCATGTCAGTACCTCCAGGGTATTCAACAACCCTGCATGGGTCCCTACAAGAAACTTGGGTGAGGGCTCCAGGAGTCACCCTGAGGCTAACTCTGAGGACAGCAGCCACAGGGATCCCCTGGTGTCTCTGTTGCTGTGGAAGCTGCCATGGTGGCTCTGGCATGGGGAATGGGGTTCCTGCTTGGTTCTGATTTGGGAGAAGGCCTAGGGCAAGCATGAGAAGGTGAAGGGGCTTCCCCTTCCTTCTTGGGCTCCTTCTTCTCCGAGGGAGAGACCCCGTGCTCACTGGAGTCCTGGGGTTTACACTAGACAAGCTCCTGAGAGACACTGGCATAGAACAGGAGGAGTAGCAAGCAGAAATGTAAATTACCAACTGTGCACATGTGTGTATGCATGCCTGTGCCTGCCCATGTCTGTGTGTTGTGCATGTGCCTATGCATCTGTGTGTGTGTGTACGTGTGACTGTGTTCACATGTGTGGCTGTGTGCATGTGTATGTGTGTGAACATGTGTGTGAGAACTGGCAGAGCCTAAGGCAGCTGGGCTGGCCAGGAATGGCCTTCAGGTGGGCTGGGGCTACAACTGGTGGTGCAGATGGCCCTGAGAGTGGGTTGAGGAACACGTGCCATTGCTAGAGATCGTTACATGGGGTCCCTCTGCTGCCCCAGCCAGATCCCAAGTCGCAGGCTGAAAACTCAGACTGACGCTGGTCTGAGTGTTGGGTCTGCAGTGTCAGCTCCAGATTCTCTCCTCACTGAGTTCTCCTGCATCTCAGCTGCCTAGTCTGTAAAAAGGGGATGGAGAAGCCAGGCCTGCATCTGCCCAAGATTGCCGTGAGACTCAATGAGATACCAGATGCCTAAGCAAGAACCTGGACTCCGGGTGGCATGGTGAGGTGGGTGTGACCTTACCTTCAGGTCTGCAGAGACAGCTGTCTCGGGCAGGGAGACCTCAATGATCTGCCTGGAGGGTATGTAGAGCCCAGTGCTCATCCAGCAGTATCTGGTGCCTGCCAAAGCACATGAGGTCCCTGGTTAGTGCAAATAGGCAAGTTCTCCAGAAGGGTGGAGGTATGGGTCCATAAGGAGGTGCCTTGGCAAAAAGTCCAGTTATCTACTTCTGAAAAATCAAACTTTTGACACATGTGGGGTCACCATGAGTCAGAGTCTCCCCATCTGTTTTTTTTTTTTTCCCCCAGTTTGCCAAAAGCACAGGAAGGACCAATTCTCCTACCACAATCCCTCATCCACCCGCATTGCCACAGCCCCTCATGCCCTCTGCACATGGCTTTATTCTCTCCCATACAGCCCTGACCCATCCCCCAACACTCCCTAGGCTCCCACCCTATCTTCTGGAAAGCGCTTGGCAAGCACTGATGGCTTCAGTGGGCATCAGATCCCCAAAATGACCCACTGTGGTCGCCACATGCTCCCTGCCCCCTCAGCTCAAGCCCACCTCAATTGCACACCTGGATTGGTACAGTTGACCTCCACGGTGATGGGGGATTCTGAGGGGCGCAGGTAAGGGCTGCTGTAGACATCCTCGATTTCTGGGACAAGCAGGGAGAGGTCGCTCCCTGAATGTGCCAGGCCGGTGGCCAGGGAGAGCATGGCGCCCCGGCAGCAGTCGTTGATGACGGGGTTCTCACGCGTGGCCACGGGCAGCCGGTAGCGGCTGAGCAGCTTTCTCAGTAGCCGGTGCACAGATGTGTAGGCTGGGACCTCATCAGCAGGGATCTGTAGGAAGGCTGCACCATCCGGGCCCAGCTTGGCCAGCCAGCCCTTCTCCACGTTGCCTCGTTTCCGGCCCATGATGACTTGGAACTCGGCCAGGGTGGAACGGAAGTGGTAGGTCCTGATGCCTGCCTTTGGGGTGCGGAAGGGCCCGGGGTTCAGGCTCTGACTGGTGATGCTGATGCCAAAGGGGTTGAGGAGTAGGTTCCCCGGGAATCGAGCCAGAGGGGACACGCCTGGGTTCTTGAAGGCCCACCACCAGGCCTGGGCACCCACCAAGAGTCCACCACCCTCCGCCACAAACTCCTGCAGCTCCTTGAAGCCCATGTCGCTCACAGGCTCACAGCAGTAGACACTGGCATCACTGGTCAGCTGGGACTCAACGCTAGTGTCAATGCCCCCCACCGCCAGCAGGCCACTCAGTGTCCGCAGCTCTGTCTGCACCACGATCTTGCCCCGGCGGCCTGCATCCAGCCAGCGCACGGCATTCAGCAGGAAGGGGCCCAGCTTGCTCACTGTAAACAGCGACTTGTGGCCGGTCACCACCACGCGACCCCGGCCATAGCGCGCAGCTGCGATGACGCAGCCATGGTAGGAGTCCAGCCCCAGTGGGAATGCCAGCGCGCCATGCACCAGCAGCTGTGACGGGAAGCAGTCTGAGTTGGTGATGTCCAGCTCCGAGATGCCATGCAGGAGCTCATCCCTGTCCTCAGAGAGGTCGTCCTCACAGCTGGAAAAAACAACCATGTTCCTAATCACAGGAGTTCCTCAGGTCAATGCCCTCAGAATAAGGCTAGTGTGTACACTGCATGTGTGAGGGGACCCCTCGGTGCACAGCCCTCAGAATAGGGCCAGCTTGTACCAAGTGTTGCATATGTGAGGGGGCCTTCTCAGTGTGAAGTCCTCAGCATGGTGCTGACCTGTAGCAAGTGTTGCGTGTGTGAGGGGGCCTCTCTGTGCAAAGCCCTCAGAATGGAGCCAGTGTGTACGCTGAATGTATGAAGGGGCTCCTTGGTGGCACAAATGGTTAAGCGCTTGACTACAAGCCCAAAGGATGGCAGTTTGATCCTATCCAGAGGCACCTTGGAAAAAAGCCTGGCAATCTGCCTCTGCAGGTTGACAGGCTTGAAGGCCTGGGGAGCAGTTCTACTACGACACTCATGGGGCACCACGAGTTGTAATCAACTTGACTGCAACTCACAATGACAAATGTGTGAACTTCACAAGGAGTGCATTTTCAGCTTCTGCAGTGAGTTGAGAGAACCAAGAAGGTACACTTGACCTCACTGGGCATGGAGACTTGTTGAGGGAGGATGGGGGAGGGCTTCCATGAATTCACTGTGTATAAATTTCCCACATGAAATCTTAAAGGCAGCCTTGCTATGTTAAACCCAACACCAAACCTACAACTGTCAAGTCACTTCTGACTCACAGTGACCCTACAGGACACTATAGGGTAGAGTGGCCCCACAGAATTTCCAAGGCTGAAAACTTTACAACCACCACTCATCTGTCAGAACGTTGGACAGTCGTGGCTTGCATATTGCAGTGAGGCTGGAAGCTATGCCACCAGTCCTTCAAATGCCAGCAGGGTCACCCACGGGGGACAGGTTTCACGGGGGCTTCCAGACTAAGAGACTAGGAAGGAAGATCTAGTAATCTACTCTGAAAAAACTGGCCAGTGAAAACTTCATGCAACAGAATATTGTCTCTATAGTGCTGCAAGATGAGCCCCTCAGGTTGCACTGCCATCAAGTCAGATCTGACTCATAGCGACCCCTCCTTGGGTTTCCGAGGCAGTATCACTACAGAAGTACATTGTCCAACCTTCCTTCCGAGGAGTAGCTGGTGGGTTTGAACCGCCAGCCTTCTGGTTAGCAGTCAAATGCCTTAGGCACTTCGTCACCAGAGTTCCTGGAAGACACTAAAATATGACTGGGGAAAAGCTGCCTCCTCAAAGTAGAGTTGACCTTAATGACGTCAATGAAGTAAAGCTTTGGGGACTTTCATTTGCTGATGGGGCATGACTCAAAATGGGAAGAGCGAGCTGTTTCTAAACAACCATTAATGACGAGAATGTGAAATATATGGAGTATGAATCTAGGAACACTGGAAGTTGTCAAGAAAGAAATGGAACACACACACACACACAAAGAAAAGGAACACATAAAGATCGATATGCTAGACATTAATTAGCTGAAATGGATTATTATTAAAATTTATGCACCAACCACTGCCAAAGATGAAGAAATTGAAGATTTTTACTAATTTCTGCAGTCTGACATTGATCAAAGATACATTTAAGATACATTGATAATTATTGGTGATTGGAATATGAAAGCTGGAAACAAAGATTCCAAAATCAAGAAACCAAATGCACTGCCACCAGGTTGATTCTAACTCATAGTGACCCACACTGGGTTTCTGAGGCTGGAAATCTTCATGGAGGTAGGTCGCCCCATCCTCCTCCTGCAGAGCAGCTGGTTAGTTTGAACCACTGACCTCCTGGTTAGTAGCCAAGTGTCTTATCCTCTATGCCACCACAGTTCCTTACAAAGACTATTAGTTGGAAAATAAGGCTTTGGTGATAGAAATTCCAGAGACCCCTCGATAGAGTTTAAGATTAATGACTAACTAATAGCAAATATCTTTTTTCAACAACATAAATGGTGACCATACATGTGGACCTTGCCAGATGGAATATACAGAAATCAAATCAACTACATGTGTGAAAAGGGACGATAAAGAATTTCAATATCATCAGTCAGAACAAGGCCAGGGACTGAGTGTGGAATAGGTCATCAACTCCTTACATGCAAGTTCAAGCCTGAAGCTCAAGAAAATGAAAACAAGCCCCAAAGCGCCAAAGTGCAACCTTGAGCATATCCCACTTGAATTTAGAGACCATCTCAAGAATTGGATGCACTGAACACTAATGAAGAAAAGCCAGAGGAGCTATGGGATGACATCAAGGACATCACACACGAAGACGGAAGTCATTAAAAAAGACAGGAAAGGCAGAGACCAAAAGAGATGTCAGAAGTGACTCAAACTCACTCTGAACAGAGAGCAGCTAAAGTGAATAGAAGAAATGATGGTAAAAGAGCTGAACAGAAGATGTCACAGGTGGATTGATGAGGCAAAGCAAAACATTCTAATGAAATGTGCAAAGACCCAGAGCTGAAAAATCAAAAGGGAAGAAAACACACACCCTTTCTTTGACTGAAACAACTGAAGAAAAAATTCAAGCTTTGAGTTTCAGTATTGTGGCATAGTGCCTAAAGCATTTGATTGCTAACCAAAGGGCTGGTGGTTCAAACCCACTAGCCACTCCTCAGAAGGAAGGTTGGGCAATCTACTTTCGTAGTAATACCACCTCGAAAACGCAAGGAGGGGTCACTATGAGTCAGATCCAACTCGACAGCAGTGTGTTGCATTGTTGTTTATGGGAAAAATACCAAATGACACAGGAGGCATCAAAAGAAGATGGCAGGAAGCCAGAGTCACTGTACCAAAAATAATTGGTCGATGTTCAAACATTTCAGTAGGTAACATATGATGAAGAACTGATGATAATGAAGAAAGAAGTCCAAGCTTCATGGAAGGCACTGGTGAAAAATAAGATTCCGGGAACTGACCAATTACCAATTGAGAGGGTTCAACAAACAGATGCAATGCTGGAAGCATTCACTCATCCATGCCAAGAAACTGAAAAGTCAGCTACCTGGCCATCTGACTGGAAGAAATCTGTACTTGTGCCCATATCAAAGAAAGGTGATCCAACAGAATGTGGAAATTATTGAACAATAGCATTAATACTACATGCAAGTAAAGTTACATTGAAGATAATTCAGAAATGGTTGCAGGACATGGAACTGCCAGAAATTCAAGCTAATTCAGAAGAAGAACATGGAAGTAGGGATATCATTGCTGATGTCAGATGGATTTTGGCTGAAAGTAGAGAATACCAGAAAGATGTTTACTTGTGTTTTATTGACTATGCAAAGGCATTCAACTGTGTGGACCATAACAAATTATGGATAACATTGAAAAGAATGGGCCTTCCAGAACACTTAATGGTGTTCTTCAGGAACCTGTAACAAGAGGCAGTTGTTTGAACAGAACAAGGGGATGCTGCATGGTTTGAAATCAGGAAAGGTGTGTGCCAGGGCTATATCCTTTCACCATACTTATTCAATCTGTATGCTGAGCAAATAATTCAAGAAGCTGGACTATGTGAAGAAGAAAACATCATTAGGATTGGAGGGAGACTCATTAACAATCTGCAATACATAAATGATACAGTATTGCATGCTTAATATAAGGAGGACTTGAAGCACTTATTGATGAACATAAAAAACTACAGATTTCAATGTGAATTACACCTCAAGTGAAAGAAAAAATCCCTCACCAATGGACTACTAAGCCATATCGTGGTAAATGGAGAAAAGATTGAAGATGTCAAGGATTTCATTTTAAATGATCCACAATCACTGCCCTTGGAAGCAGCAGTCAAGAAATCAAATGACAAGTTGCACTGGTCAAATCTGTGTAAAAGAACTCTTTAAAATGTTAAAAAGCAAAGATGTCACTTTCAGGACAAAGATGAGCCTGACCCAAGTCATGGTATTTAAAATCACCTGATACGCATGCAAAAACTGGACAATGAATGTGGAAGCCTGAAGAAAAACTGATCCCTTTGAATTTTGGCATTGGTAAAGAATACTGAACATGCCACGGACTGCCAGAAGAACAAAAAAATCCGTCGTGGAAGAAGTACAGCAGAATGCTCCTTAGAAGCAAGGATGGTGAGTCTTTGTCTCTCGTACTTTGGACCAGTGCCTAGAAGGACATCATGCATGGTAAACAGAGGGTCAGCAGAAAAGAAGATGTCCCTCCACAAGATGGATTGACAAAGAGGCTACAACAATGGGCTCAAACCTAGAAATGATGGGGAACATGGCACAGGACCAAGCAGTGTTTCATTCTGTTGTTCATACGGTCACTATGAGTAGGAACCAACTCAATGGCATAGCACCTGTTTTTGTTCTCTAGTGTCACACTAACAAAATACACAAACACATGGCTTAACAAACAGAATTATTCTCTAACAGTTGAGGAGGCTAGAAGTCCAAGTTCAAAGTGCCAGCTCTAGGGGCTAGGCGAAGGAACCTCCATCTTGGGCTTCAGCTCTGCCTCTTGCTCCAGGTCCACTGGAAATGGAGGCATCTCTCAACTCAGGCAGCTGCTGGCTGCTGAGGCTGACAAATCCAAGGTCGACAAGTAAAAATGGCACAGTCCCAGGATTATCAAGCAACGTGGCAGGCCACTAGCTCAAATCCAGAAGCAGTCTCAAGATCAGCAGACAACATGGCAGACCACTGAGACAAAGACTCGGTTGGCCAAATACAGGATCCAGATGTGCCAAAAACTAGAGACTTTTCTCAAAGCTTCTTCTTACACATTGGAAGTAGACCACCTCCCTAAGGAAGCTACTGAGCTGTTCACAGTAGATTCCACCATAGTGAATAACTACATCCAGCTGCCCAGCCACTCAAAACCAGGCCCAGCCAAACTGACACACAAATTAACTGCCACGATTCCACCCCTTGTCAACTTGGCACCTATACAGATCTCCTTCATTGGGTGGCCTGAGTCCCCTAGAACATCTCAGTGGTGACCTCACCACCTTGGCCTGGAAGGCCCTGCTTTTCTGCCCCTTGGGCATGG